GATAAATTCGGGCGAAAAGTACGATGAGAGGTGATTAATTTATCAGCTAACACACCAATTTATTACACCAAAGATTGAATAAAACCTATCCACGCCTTGCTATCAGGAAGCAGCAATCTTTATGACTTTGTTTTCCCAAAATATAGGATGGGAAAATTGGGGAGAGAAGAGCAGGATCAACCACTTCCTAACATCATTTAAAGAGGATAGTGAACACCATCCAATGTAACTCGGATTTGTCATATCTCAACCGAAAGAGAACACTCCCGATTCAGGATCTCATTAGCCAACAGAGAATGCCCTAACAGCCTCCGCACTCAGGTCCGAATGACAACCGCCCACTCATCACCACCACTACTACTACTACAGCGGTGATGCTTACTTGCCTCCGACTCTTCCAACTGGCCTAAAGGAGGCAAGCTCATACACATACACACACGCCCGAACTCGGTAGGTCAGTTGGGGTTTTTAGCAACGCCAATCATCCACTCATTGTGCCCTCTTTTGTGAAACATCTACTCTGAATGGTGCCTAGATGGAAGTGTATCAATATTGGATCAAATCAAACATAAGATCTTTTAACTCCCGAAACACTCCGCTTCTCCTTTTGTAAAAAGATTTTGACGCAATGGAAATCATAAGTTAGGCTTGTGAAGCTTAAATAAAGTGAATCAAGTGTGGGCCATTGCTTGATCAAAAAATGAAGAGAAATGACCCGATTCAAACTCCGTAAGGCGTAGTAGTGAAAGCAGTCGAGGACAATAAATGCTATTAGACACCCACGAATAAAACGAAGCAAGCGTTAAATCAGGAGCAGAAGCAATAAATGCACACAGTGGAGAGGGAGAGAGAGGGAAAGCGATGGAAAGAAAGGATTATAGAGGATATTATTCGACCACGGTGATGCGTACAATAATCCATAGTGAGGTCACTGACACCCCTTCAGGAGATGCTTTAAGGAAGCAAAAGTGGGCAAAAAAAATCAAAGGAAACATTCAAACAAATCGACAAATTATCAATTGGACGTCAAAAGACCGTGTTAGCGATGAGGCCCTTCATCTAGGACCCAGAAACTGAGCATTGAAGGTGCCATTTCTTGTCTGTCATTAAGGCGGGCGCGTTTGACGAAGGGAAAAAATACCCTTTGAAAGTTCGCCTACGTCTACCATAAAATTGGAAGTTATGAGATAAATATCGAGATCGGGACCATATCATAATCACAGACGACGATAAGACCTCATTCAGGGTCAAAGGGAAAAGTCTACCGAAGCGTAAGAGACCACAGCAATCAACATGTCACCGTGGGAGGTAAGCCCTACCTTCTCGACGCCACCTTCCAAAAGTCGGTGTCTACAACATCACCTAGCGCATTAATTTTTCCAACAGAAGTGTAAATAACCACAGAGATGGGTAGGCAGGTAACAAGCGTCTCGGTTAGTAAAACAAACTGGTTTACATTAACATTTCTGCCACAAACATACACCCACAAGCTTCGCCCACGCATATAAAATAACAAGTTAAATTACGGAGTACATACGTCGTGGTAAAAAGGCAGTCAAACCTCTTCATTTATTTAGCAATAGACCTCCGGATTAAGTAGAAATAAGTCCCAGCTAAAAGCATTAACCTTCTTCTACCTCCCCACCCGCTCGGTCTCGGATCGGAGTCAGGCTAAAAAGACCTACCTTCGATGATGTTATAGAGACACAACAGCTACAGACGCCAACCGAGAGGGCGGAACATAAAATAACTGATAAATCTTCCTCGAATCACTCTGACCCAGTGGAATCACAGGTGAGAATTTGGCAAGGCGCCAACGCATCACTAACCCATACACAAACACACGCACACACACACAACGATTCAACTGCCCACGTATAAAGTAGTCCTAGAAATAATTGTCCAGCCTGTGGAAGGGCGCGTTGCTCCAAAGTAAAACCAATTGTGTGCGGATGGAGCTTTGTGTAGGGGAAACGGATTGTTGACTCTGGTTTGATGAGTTCAGAACAAAACGTCAGTGTCCATCTCGCCAAGTATTATTGCATCAGGAATTGAGAGCAGAATTGTTACCAAAATAAGTACCTTGTTTCAGCAAATTTGAATCCCAAAACAGTGCTAATCACAATAGCAACGCTTCCAATGCAATTGTGAGCATAAATGACCGCTAAAACATTCTACTTTGTCAAGAACTAAATAGGACTAGATGCACAAGAATTTTTCAGAAATCGGTTTCAATGAAAAAAACCAGTTTTGCCCACCAAAAAGTGGTAATCTCAACCTCCGACTTCAACTTAGCATCCGGTATTTTGTAAGCAGGTAAAACTGGACACTAGGTCGAATCCAAAACATCTAGGGTGCTAAATCTTCGCTCGCTAGCGTGTAACGATTCTTCAGATAGTCCAGAGACCTCCGTCCCCTCCCGCCTACTGAGACAAATTAAATCCTCACCTCCGAAGTGAGGTTAAACTGGGCACCGGCACTTCGAATGAGAAGACGAAGTGAGTGAGAGAAATACAGTTCGAC